TTACTTGCTCAACATTTTGAACTTCTTTTCAAGTTTCAATTTTCGGTGAGTTATGGTCTTTGGCTGCTTCATCCCATTTCCGTCTTTCTTCGTCATTAAATTATACATCTCGGTTAATAATGTGATTGGATTTTCCCCATTTTTCTTAAGATATTAATTAAATTTATAAGTCTTTTTTTTTTCTTAATTTTCATGTTTTAAGAGTCTGTTGCTGCATATTTGCCTTTCATTTGCATCTCTTTTCACTATTTAAAGTCTCGTTTCTTTAGTTGGCGAATTCTTTAAGGTTTGCATTTTAATTATAAAAAAAAAAGAAGAAGATTGTGCTGATTACTTCCATCCAACACGAAACTTCGTCAGCACACGGGAGACAATAGAACGTTACCAAAGGCATACGAAAGATAATCATGCTGAAAATCCTCCAGATGAACAAAATATGCAGGTTGTCTCCATTTAATTTTCTCAAATATTTTTAAGGATGTATAGCTTGTTTTTTTGCTAGCTTATTCTCTAATTAACTATCCGAAACTTGAAAGGTTTTGGTCACTCTATTTATTTGGAATTGCAGCAGCTAAAGCATGAAACAGCAAGTATGATGAAGAAGATAGAGTTTCTTGAAATTTCTAAACGGTTTGTACTACTCGATTTTTTCTCATGTTCGGCTAAGCTGTCCAAAAAAGTAAGTTGTTGTAATGAGAATCGAAAATAGAAGCACCTTTGAAGAAACTCAAAAGGTGTTTGGCGAAAAAAACTACTTAAAAGCAACATTTAGGCTCAACCAAACATTCTAAACTGCCAACCGCTTCGGAAATTCTAAACAATGACAATTGATGCATTAGGAGACTCTTGGGGGAAGGTTTGGGATCATGTTCCATTCAAGAACTACAACAGCTAGAGCAGCAGTTGGAGCGAAGTGTCGGGATCATTCGTGCAAGAAAGGTAATTTTGAAAATTTTACTGGTTTGTTTTTGTCATGAATTTTATTGACATAATCTGATTATTTTCATTTTGTTTTTGCTTGCAGATGCAAGTTTTCAGACAACAAGTTGAGGATCTAAACGAAAAGGTAAAATCCCCAAAGAAAATAGAATCACCTTGTGGTTCTTAACCTTTAAGTTTGACAAATGTGAAATAGGGTTATCATTTAACTTGGGGGGAAAAAAAAGAAAGAAGAACCAAATGGAGTGGTGATGAAAAAATTCTTGTAGGCTCCAAATTTATTAGGAATATGTCTTGGTATTTGTT